TTACAACACCTATGTCGCAACCTTATACTGTAATATTCATGGATTTAAAGTACATTGGTTTTCTCAGACAGAATTAAGAATAAAAATAGAAATACTTAAATAATAGAATTACAATAATTCAAAAATTTAAAAAAAAATCATAATTGGCATTTTAGACGAATTTTAAACGGAGAATTTCACTTTCTCGTATCTAAATTTAAAAAATGAAAAAAAATCGATTTTTTTTTTTTTTTGCATAAAAAAAAATTACGGCTTTTAACGAAAATTTTGGACCACCCATATTTAAAATCTTACAAAAAGCGATCAAAAAAAACTCTTATACCATAAACGTTTAACTCTTATTTTCTTTTTGGTATTTTATAGCGATCTCATGCTAAATGCAAAAACAATTAAAAAGACTTCTGACCACGGCAACAGATGATACGAAAATTTTGCGGAGATTCGCATTCTGACGAATCATGACCAGATATAAACGATCGAGCGGGAAAGATCAACATAACTCAGTTGGGTGGACGAATTTTGAAATGTCAGAAAGCCTTTGATGAATCAAATATTTGTTAAGTACCAGTCCAGTATTTAAAAGTTCAGACTTTAATCAATCGTTCGCTATTGTAGTTGACGCAAGTAACATATGAATTAGTGTAATATTATTTCAAGTTGACGATCAGAATAGAATACGTCCGTTTAGTTACTATTCATGAAAATAAACTAAACATCAAAAAGGATATTCTACGATAGAAAAAGAAGGCTTAGCCCTAATATCTAACTTGCAACATTTCGAAACTTACGTAGCTATGTCGGAACTGTAGTGGATCTGAGAAGGCTGCGTGAATATTTTGATGTTTCGCTGCAAATGAAACTTGCAACATCCACAAGCATAAATTTCATTAAAAAGATCAAATGGTAACGATATCCAATTACAACAAAAAGGATTGGTTTGGAACAATAAATAATTTTTTTATATACAGAATTTTACAATTTTGTTTTATAATGATCTGTGCGTAAAATTGATCATGTGGTGGCCTTTTACCATATTTATTTAATTTTGTTTGGGAACCCAAGCTGATGTAAAAGAAGGGACAAGGCAAAGGTATCAATATATATAAACTGTATTGAACAAAGCATACAATAAAGAATGTACACGAAAAAGCATGCAATGAGTAAGATGAGAGTTGTCTCTCTGACTATAAAAGTCTATTAAAGTTCTCTGAAAAGGGAATGAAAGAGCTATTAGTCTGTTATAATTGTTTTTAAACAGTTCTGCTGTGCAAGAGGAAAATTATGTAAGTGTGATAGAATATGCAGCTTGGGAGTTGAGTGAGAAGATGGGCGCATAGCTTCAACTGACGTGGATTTCTATGGCAGCTGAAGTCTCACTGATTGCTCCTCTTTTCTTTTGTTTATATAGGTGGTCAATGAATCAGGAGTGCTGCGCGGGAAGAATCATTCTCCACATGCAGAGAATCTGATTGGTCGATACTGACCAATCAGTGTATGAGTTTCAGGGAGACTTCTGGGAACCGATTCTCCCAAAAGTGCACAAAATCTACTATATGAAAATATAGCGATTTTAAAATTGTCGCTTCAGATAGCAGCGTTGCTTCCTGTGGTGATGATCACCATAATCAGAGTATATTTAAGAGAAAAAGTTCTCGTTTCTGGTTTGGAAATGTTCAATGCAGAAAGTAAGTAAAAGTTGTCTACCTTTAACTAGAAAACTTAAATTTAACTTAGACAAAATTTTTCTAAGATATTCGAGTGCAAAAAGTTTTGTCACAATGAGTTGTTGAAAACGTTGGTGAATTGGGATGTTGAGTATTTTTCCAAATCTTTCATAAAAGAAGTTTGTTCCAAAAAGGCAGTCTTTGATCATCATCGGCGTCTCTTTGAGTATATATATATATATATATATATATATATATATATATATATATATATATATATATATATATAAACCACTTTTTTCCACTTTCCTCCCTACCGTGCGCCGATCTCCGACTGTCACCAGTTCAGTCGGGTTTCGACCCTAGCTGGAGGCAACCGGATGTCTAGCCACACTGATGAGCTGTGAAACAGCAAAACAGTCTGTCTGTGGATGACGGTATATATATATATATATATATATATATATATATATACTAGCAGCATGGTTGCCCGTGCTTGATTCAAAAATCGTACGACTCATACAGCAATTGCTATCACTTGATTTAAAATATTTTTGCCCTTCCTTTGTCATGCTGATGTTGCTACATGCCTTACTTCTATCTCACACTACGAATTTTTTATAAACTCTATACTAAACATTAAATCTGTTACGAACTAAACAAATGAACACAAAACGATCAGTTTTAAAAAAGGACTTGTAACTGGAAAACCGAATGAAAAAAGAATGTTAACAACAAATACTTTTTCACACCCAACCCAGTTCTGCGGAATCAGAATCAACGTTGAGTTTAAGCAAGCGAATGAGCCAATTGGAGTAAAGTGCTATGCAGATTTAAATTTTTCCCACTTGTGACGAATGCAGCTATTGATTTTTTTTTTTTGCATGCTAGAATGCTAGTTAACATTCGTGTCAGTCAAAAATGGCTCTCACGCTAGCCAATAGACTCTTCCCGCCTATTCGTGGCAGCCAGCTATTGGCTCTCCCTCTGGCCAGTAGAAAATGGCCGCAAACTACATGAAAACAGCCGTAGAAGCATGAAAAAATCGAATATTTCCACTATCGATGGGTGTTGAGAAATGCAAAGTCGATCTTGGCCTTCCTACTAATTTAGTGCAAATCCGTCGAAAATTGTTTGTGCATTTTTTACACACACACACACACACACACATCACACCTATATATATATATATATATATATATATATATATATATATATATATATATATATATAGTATTTTAAAAATGCCATCAGGTGGCATTTAAGCTAGCTCCTTGACCTTGATTGGGATTTTATAGATAAGGAGGAGTAGATGTGATATGCAACAATAAACTACAGAAAAAATTGATCGCTGCATTGCATTAATATTTAAGCTTACCTTTTAAAAGTTCAATGATATTTCTTCTGACGCTACTTAATTTAATGACAATTTGATGTACGTAGGTCCTTACTTTCCGTACAAACAATTATTTTTATTTTATGGGTGACCTTCACTGGATTTTGCAATTAATTTTGATTATTCCAAAATTTAATTCCAAATTATAAAAATTGTTATTGTACAAGTAACTTGTTGCAAAAAATCATATAAAAAAATTGCTGAAAATAAATGAAAACTTGGGAATCCAAAATTTCAGTATTGTGGGTTCAGTTCCAGCAAAGAATGTTTCCAATTTATTCATGGAGTCAACCTGATTCCAAAATGGTATGATATGTTCAGCTATGGCCTCTAGGAATAAAGTTGAAAACATGGACAATTTTATTTTGAAATACTCTAATTTGAGAACAGTAATTTTTTTTCATTTGAACATGATCTATTGAAATTATTGAGAGTTCTGTCCCTTTAATTATATGCGGACACAAATGCACACATATATGTATATATTATTGGCCCATTGCCAAGTGGCTAGAACGTTGGTTTTCTGACCATGAAACCAGGGTTTGAATCTGACCATGGTTTATTTGTCAGGAAGGATACTTCCTGATGTTATCAGTCTGGAAGGGGTTGATCCCAGTGTGCAGTACCTTTGGAAAGTGCTTGAAAAACACACAATGGGTTGACCCAAGCCTTGTGAGTGAAACTGGATAGACAGAACCCGTAGCGGCCATCAATGTCTGTGCTAGCACAAAGTCACAAGTCATCATGCCTCAGATTTTGTGGGTGTTGACCTTGTTCAGATTGTTGATCATGCTAGATAATGTGCTCTCTCCCAGAAACTGTAACTAAGGTCTGCTCAACATAGTTGCAGTATAAACCACAGGTGGTCTCTGTGGATGTTGAACAAATGCAATTACACCTGAGTGGGTGTCTGCAATAGGAATTTGCATGCAGCCCTAGTAGACAGCTATCCTTGAATGTGAGTGGCCAGCTAACATATATATATACAAAACTAGAACTTGTAAAACTTGGGATGACCCATGCCCTTTATGCCTACATGAAAAACTACACATTATTAAGTTTCTAAATAATAAAAATCTATTTAAATAGACAGGAGTTAACGGTTTTTTGCCGACGTCATCAAATTCTTGCATTAAATAATTAGCATAAAAACAAACAAACAATAAAATAATTTTTAAATTCCATAGTCTAAATAAATAGTTTAAATGCCCTATAAAAAAAAAAAAATAACCCTTTATGAAGTCGTCAAAAAACAAATGTTAGCGAGTTTTTTTTATATAAAAACCCTTTCAAAAAAAATAAAAAATAAAAAAAAATAAATAAATCTCCATAGACACTTAACCAGACTAGACGATGTCATCTTTCGCTTTAAATTCAGACACCCAATCTTACCCTGACTTGACATCTGTGAATGTAACTGAGATATTGATACAAATTATTACGCCCCTTTTCTTTAAACAATTGTTCTAGCCGTTACCATAGTAATCTTGATTTCAATAATGAATATGCTTATAAAACACGTAAATTTCATATTTATATAGAAATAACAACTTTTCAAAAATGAGAACTCTTATGAGTGATGGAATCATATTTTTAAATTTAAATAATTTAATTCATATAATTATATATATATATATATATATATATATATATATATTATCACTAGAACTCATTGTCATTAATGTTATCATCACACATTTTTTAAATAATTATATATATATATATATATATATATATATATATATATATATATATATATATATATATATATATATATATATGTATATGATTATAATCATCATGGCATGGCCTTACAAATGTATATATTCTCAAGGGAGTTATTTAATATCTGCTGCAGGACTGCATGAAATCAAACTGAATTTATGTTAAATCCCAAGATAACCTGATTTATATATAATTTCATGCTCATCAGCAAATAGTTAGATAGATAGATAGATAGATAGATAGATAGATAGATATGAAGATTCTGTAATAGACAGATAGATAATTATAGATCTGATTACAAATGTGTGTGTTAAAGGTATATTGGTCTAAGGATGTCAGGCTTTATTATATAAACTAATAGTAACATTAATGTTAAATATATTCAAAAGATATTTGCCACAGAATATATATTTTATCAGTACAATATCTCCTATTACCAGACTAAATTATTTTATTACTAGATAAGCTCCTCGATATTCTATAAACTTCATCAGTCTAACAAAATATTGATTTCATTAACTTTTCTACTGTTCTCAACATAACTTTAGTTATATCTATTTTTATAGCTACCCAAGAAATTGTTTTTAAACCCTTATATACACTTCTTTTAAATTCTCCCTTAGAAATTGTTTTAAATTCTCATATAGGCTTATTTTAAATTCTACCTAGGAAATTGTTTTTAAATTCTTATATACACTTCTTTTAAATTCTCCCTTGGAAATTGTTTTTAAATTCTTATGTAAACTTGTTTACATTCAACCTTGAAAATCTATTTAAATTCACATATACATTTCTTTTAAATTCTACCTTAGAAATTGTTTTTAAATTCCCATATATACTAATTTTAAATTCTACCATGGAAATAAATTTAAATTCCCATATACACTTTTAAATTCTCCTTTGGAAATTGTTTTTAAATTCTTACACACATGTCTTTTAAATTCTACCTGAGAAATTATTTTCAAATTCTCATATACATTTCTTTTAAATTCTCCCTTCGAAACTGTTTTTAGGTTTTCAGATACACTTCTTTAAAATTCTACATTGGAAATTGTTTTTAAATTCCATTATACACTTCTTATAAATTCACACTTGAAAATTCTTTTTAAATTCTCATATACACTTTCTTTAAGTACTACCTTGGAAACTTTTTTTAATTCACATACACACTTCTTTGAAATTCTCCTTTGGAAATTGATTTAAATTCCCATATACACTTCTTTTAAATTCACTCTTGGAAATTTTTTTAAAATTCTGTTAAACACTTCTTTGAAATTCTCCAGTGGAAATAATTTTTAAATTCTCATAGGCACTTCTTTTAACACTCTCCCTGGAATTTGTTTTTAAATTTTTCTGTACATTTCTTTTAAATTCTCCCTTAGAAATTGCATTTAAATTCTCATATATACTTCTTTTAAATTCTCCCTTGGAAATTGTTTTTATATAATGATGTATAGTTCTTTTAATTTCTACCTTGTAAATAGTCTTTAAATTTCCATATATACTTTCTTTTAAATTCTCCCTTAAAAATTGTTTTTAAATTCTTATATACACTTCTTTTAAATTCTCCCTTAGAAATTGTTTTTAAATTTTCATATACACTTCTTGTAAATTCTACATTGGAAATTGATTTAAATTCACATATACACTTCTTTTTAATTTTCCCTAGGAAATTGTTTTTAAATTCTTATATGCACTTCTTTTAAATTCTCTCTTGGAAATTGTTTTTAAATTCTTTCAAACGTTTCTTTGAAATTCTCTCTTAGAAATTGATTTAAATTCTCATATACACTTCTTTTAAATTCTATCTTGGAAATTGTTTTTATATTCCCATATACACTTTTTTTTATTTATACCTTGGAAATTGTTTTTAAATTCTCATATACACTTCTTTTAAATTCTCGCTTGGAAATTGTTTTAAATTTTTATGAACACTTCTTTTAAAATTTCCCTTGGAAATTGTTTTTAAATTCTATGTACACTTCTTTTTATATTTACCCTTGGAAATTGTTTTTAAATTCTATCAAAGACTTCTTTCTTTCTTGGAAACTTTTTAAATTCTCATATAGGCTTATTTTAAATTCTCCTTTGGGAATTGTTTTTAAATTCTCATATACATTTCTTTTGATGATGAACAGTAATTTACTTATTAGATTAATATCCAAAGAGTCTAAAGCTATTCCATTATTTTGGTGGTTTTGGAACTTATTTTGGTAAGGATAGCCAATAGTCCTTTATGAAGGAGCATTGTCTTGCATCAATTCTTTAAGTTAAAGAATTTTCATTCAAGCAGCTTCTTTCCTTGAACTGCAATGTTGTGCAATCAATTCCTAAGATACTTCTCTGATTACTACAATCTTAACCATTTCAAGTCTATGGTCAAACATTATCTTCCTCACATATCCACATAAACTCTGTCTTTTACTCTGTAACACTACTTCTAGAGGCTCTTGGACCTTGTACAAAGTACAAGGCATCATTGTTAAAAAATAAAGTAAGGATGATAGTCTAATCCTATGAAGAAGCTAGCATTGTTTGTAACTGCAACTTAAATCCAAATTCCAGTTGCTGAATGTTGACGGAGTCTCTTCGATCCCTGACTGAAATTCTTTATTTGAAAACTGAACTGTAGATATTACAATCTGAAATCTAGTTTATAATTCATCACCCATTTTTTCTTCACTGATACGTTAGAAACTATCCAAAATGGATAAAAAGGAATTAAATATCTTCATCTGCTCAGGTAAGGCTGCCTATTCCTGGTTTTATTTTTTTTGTCATTTCATCAAAGCAGGAATAACATAAGACTTGAAGTAGTTTGATGAGTTGAATTGATATTGACAAGAAAAACCAAAGCAAAGAAATGAAAGAAATCTGCAAGGGAAATTTGAGATACAGTTAATTTGTCTGTTTTTGATCGGTGCCAAGTGGGTGATAAGCAGACATTTTCTTGGTAAATACATTACTGTATTTAAAATCTACAATACGTTCAGTGATTTGAAAATAATACCAGGAACAAACATCACTATACATGCACATACACATGAACATACACATGCACATACACACTATCCTGTACACATATATGCATATATTTACACATATAAATCTCACTCATATCAGGACACCTTCCTTGGGTGTTGGTTGATTGGTTTTGTTTAGCAGCATATCAACATCTCTATGGGTCATTTAATGCCAAAATCTACATATTTTGCATTCAATTTTATTTATTTTTTGATGATTTAGTGATACAAGTCTTACTAATTAACCCATAGCTGGAGAGAGAAGAGGTGGATTTATACCTTTCCCAAGGGTATTTGCATGTGAGTGAATATAAAAAAGCCAACTGGAACTAGAACTCAGCACTCTGATTAACAATTCTGAGCCATTATTCATTACACCACCCGCACATCCAAGCTTACAGCACATGGTATTTCCAAGCAGTCATCCATCTAGATAATGACCAGGTTTAACCCTTTCTTAATCCCAATGCTCATTAGTGTCACCAACATTCTGGATCATCGCCCTCCAAGGGGATTATCCATAATTGTTGAAAACTATCATGTTTTTCTTTTACAGACATAGTAGTTCCAAACATTGTCTGTATAGCTTCAGGTAGCTGAGATTTCAAGTTATCCTTCTCCTAGACTGGTAGTCAACCATAGCTAGCTCTCTCCAGTTATTTGAGAATAAAAGAAAAATCTGCAATGTTATTGATCCTGACCTGGCATCTCGGCCTCAGTCTCTTTCTCACTGCCATAACATAGCTTTCCTGTGCATTTTCTATAAATACTTTCATGGTAATTATTCTGATGAACTTATTCTATTGTACCTAGACTTTACAAATTTAAGCACAATACTAGATTGGCAGTTAGGTTTCATCATTTTACAGTTGAAATGGCTTATATATGAGAGTGCAATAGCAAAAAGTTATTGAGATTGCTTCTTGCCAAAATGTTAATTTGCAACCTGAATTTTTTCAAAGATCTTCTTTATTAAAGGAAATATTACCTACTTAAAGGAAATACTACTTACTCAAGAAACAGGCATAAGCATACATTTTTTTTTAAATTAAAAGGAAACAATTAACTGAAGACCTTTAAATATTTAAAATAAATAAATTGATACATAAATAATTAAACAGAATAAAATAAATAGAAATAAATAATAATTACATTAACAAATAAATAAATAAAATTTCAGCAATAGCAACAACAACATTTACTCTCTTTCATTTATTAGACAATAAATTATATCACTTAATATCCTCCAAGTATTAACAATATTTAGTTACAAAATAAAATCTCCATATTTACCTTGATAATGTTGCTCAAGTGATGAAAGATGTTGGTGAAGGATAGTTTTCCTTTTGTCTTTTATTTACAAATATATTTTATTTATATTTGGATTTTTCACACACACACATTTTTTTTTTCTTTTCTGATATGCGTAGTACTTAGTAGAAAGTGCTCAATATTTTTGATAGAGCTACCATATTCAGTTGCATGGATATGAGTTTTTAACCCTGGGTTCTGTGTTTGTTTGGGATGACACTCTCACATACATAGACAGACATGCATACAAGTGTATGCATTTTAGTTCATACAAAACACACACATATATATAATCCATGGTTAGGCACAGATACACATCCATGTGTCCGTGTATACATATATACGCAATTGTCATTCAATTTTCAGTGTCGAGACTGAAACACAAGAAAAACCCCCATACACCATACATAAATAAACAAACACAAATAAGCATAAATAGATCCACTTTTTAAAAAATAAACCAGTTTGTCTAATGATCACAAAAGTGTGAAACCCAGGGTTACAAACTAATATCCATACAATTGAATATATATATATATATATATATATATATATATATATATATATCATTAATTTCATTTTAATGAAACATACATGTGTCATTAAAAATAATTCACAAACGCATTTCCTCTTGGTTGCTTCAGTTTCACAAATTTAACTGCATTACTAGATTGGCAGCTAGGTCCCATCATTTTATAGTTGAAATTGCTAGATGTAACTGCAAATTCTATTCTAATAGTTTCCACTCTCGCACTTTCCCCTTGTGGATCTCTATTCTGGCTTTTTGTTTTCCAGTCAACTTTGATTTTAAAAAATTTAAATGCATTATCAATCCGTCTCTTCTGTCTTCTTAATTCTTGTTCTTTTATTGTTTTCTCTTCTTAATGTTTTCTTTTTCTCATATTTTCTCACACTCAGTAACCTCTTCCACTTTAGTGGCTTTATTGCTTTCCTTAGGGTGAAATGGTAAAAAATCCTATATATATATATATATATATATATATATATATATCAAATATGTGGGGCAGTTCAATTTATATTACAATGAATCATTCATCGTAAAATAAATTAGTAAAGTTAATGATATAAAATGGCAAAATCCCTTCGCTAACAAAATTTTTAAACCTACAAATCACTTGATGAATGTTATAATCCTTGTTTTTAAAAATTATAAGCTATATAAGGTCTTTCTTAAATACGCAAGTACTTTCGACTGTACAGTCAGTCATCTTCAGGCATGGAAATTATATTGTTTTTGGTAAAATTCAGGTAGCATCTGAGATGAAAATATAATGCGAATCGAACTATGTTTTTTTAAATGTGTTATTGATAACAGATACAAACTTTTGGAGCATCCAGTCACAAAGCTAACATTGAATTATTTTGAAGATTCAAGTGTGTGCATTTTTTACTAATATGGCAATTTGAGAATTTTTTGTAGGAATTTATCAGTCATTGTGACATGAACTAAATAGTTCAATAAGTAGAGTAATGTCTCAGTTGTTATCCCAAAAATTTGATAAACTATTACAACAAAAAATTCTCTATTTGCCATATTAGTAAAAACTCACTCAATAAAATTTTCAAAAAATTCATCCTTAACGTTGTGGTTGCATGCTCCAAAAGTTTGTATCTGTTATCAATAACACAATTTAAAAAAAACATAGTTCGATTCACATTATATTTTTATCAAGCTGGAATAAAGATATTCATTCAAAATTAAAAATTAAGATGAGCAAAAGTAAGTGAACCCTTACATTTAATATTTGATGACTGCTCCTTTTGAGGTTACAATGTCAACCAGTCTTTTTCTATAAATTTTAAGAAGTTTTTTGGCAGTAGTGAGTGCCAATTTTTGGCCATTCTTCTTGGCAAAAAAACCCACAATTGCTCAGTATTACTTGGGTTTCTTGCATACACTAGTTTCTTTCACTTGAATCCGATTTTCAATTGGGTTTAGATCAAGACTTTACTTAGGCCATTTCAAGACTTAAAATTTCTTTTTACAAAACCATTCTTTTGTGGATTTGCTTTGATGCCTCAGATTATTGTCTTGTTGAAAGTTCCAGGCCTGACCTAAACCCAACTTTTAAACTGAGGGCAAGACACATTTGTTTAAAATTGCTTGGTACCTTGCAGAGTCCATTGTGCTGTCAATTTGTACTATTTTGCCTGTTTCAACTGCAGCAAAGAACACCCAAATCATAATGCTGTCACCTCCATTTTTAATGGTTGGTATCAAATTCTTTTCTTCAAAAACCCTATTAGGAGTTCACAGGATATACCACCAATTGTTCCACCCAAAAAGCTCTTGTTTGGTCTTATCATTAAATCTTTTGCCAGAATGTTTCTGGCTTATTAATATGAGCTTTGGCATAGGTGAGACGAACATGCTTGTGCTGTTTTGAAAGCAGTTTACTTTTTCTAGGTATTCTGCTGTGAAGATCCGCATGGTTCTGATTTTGTTGCACTGTAGATGTTTGCACATTGATTCCAACATTGGCCAGAGAGCATTGAAGAACCACAAAGATACCTTCCTCATACTTATTATAAAACCCAGGTTGTGTGTGTGTGTGTGTGTGTGTGTGTGTGTGTGTGTGTTCATTTATATATGGGATTGGATTTCCTAAATTTTTCAACCAATTTCAACAAAACTTCACTTTTTTTTAGCAGGTAGTGTTTCTTATTGTCTTGCACACTCTTTTCTTTATTTTTACATTCAGAATGCTTTAAAAATTCCATTTACAAGACAATTGTTTATAATAAAATTGAAAAATTCTATTCAATCGGTAGACTCATAACGATTGAAAACAATGTTTTTGTTTGAGTTTGGGTTTGACCAATTCGTAAAAAAAAAGAATAAAACAAAACAAAAAACTAATTAAGACATGCATGTCCGTCAACCTTAAACAATAATCTTTGTCAATTTTATTTTTCAGTCTTTATGATGGTCGATACTTGATCTATCTCTTATTGTTACATCCCCGGGCAATGCAGGGCTCTACTGCTAGTAATCACTATTAGACTTATCCAATTCCTCCTGAATCCTTTGAACTGTCCTCAGATTGACACTAAACACCTTGAAATCTTTTTATTGGACCTTCCATTGTGAATGCCAAGCAGTACAGCAGGGCGTTTGCTAATTTCTGGCTGATTGAATTGCATTACGGTGTTGTATTTCATGTAGACAGTGTCCAGCTGACCCTACAATATTATTATGCAGTCAACAAAATCAAAAATAAACTATACGCATATGCAAAATTATAAATGGTGACAATTTACTCATTGAACACTATAATATATATATATATATATATATATATATATATATATATATATATATTATAAATTAAGTGATTTAAAAATATGGTTCCATCACTACACAGGAATTACCATGTTTCAAAATCATATATATATATATATATATATATATATATATATATATATATATCTTTTTCTTCCCTAAACAACTTGATATTGAAATCTCTATCTATCATCGCCTTTTTTTTTCTTTGTCCATTTACCATTAAACTTTTCCCTTTTCTCTTACTTTTTTCTTTTTTTTTTTCTTTTTTTTTTTGTATGTCTGAATAAATTCAACTCCATTTATTAATGTAAAACTGGTCTGAAGGGATGGACTTGAGGTCCACGAAATAAATTATAACCTGACCTGACGGATTTTTAAGGATTCTGTATTCATTATACATATATATATATATATATATATATATATGTGTGTGTGTGTGTGTGTGTGTGTGTGTGTACATATGTGTGTGTATGTCTGTGTGTACATATATGTGTGTGTGTGCACATGTGAGTACATATATATGTATATGTGCATATATATGTATATGTGTGTACATATATATGTGTGTGTGTACATATATATACATGTGTATGTGTGTGTACATATATATGTGTGTGCGTGTGTGTACATATATACGTGTGTGTGTGTGTGTGTGCGTGTGTGCGTGTGCATATTTTTGAAATAGGATATCGAATCTTGACAAAGGTTTTAAGAAATCTGACAAATGGGAAACTTTTCATTAAAAACAGATTTGATTGAAAATATATTTGATTACACGTTTCGTATTTTGAGGCTTCATCAGATCCAAGAATGAAAGAAAGAAATGCGTGTATGTGCATTTGTGTGTATGCATAAATAATGAATCTTAATACTTTTTCCCCTAAGCTGGCGTTTCTCATGATTAAAGAAGAAATAAAAAGAGGAACTTAAAAAAAAAAAGCCGTTAATATTTATTCTGTATTCTTCCTTTATAATTCTTAGTTCTTGTTGAAAGTGGCTTATATATATGTAAAACAACAACAAAAATAAGGAAGACTTTACTTTTTCAAAAATGCAATCTGATTGGATGCAAAAAATCCATCAAACTACAAGAAGAGATTCTATTCTATTTCATTATCAGTGATAATAAATATGTGCATATATATATATATATATATATATATATATATATATATATATGTGTGTGTGTGCATCTTTATGTGTATATGTGAGTGTGTAAGTATGAGTGCGTGTATAAATCTCTATCCATATTTATATATATACACACACACATATATATATATATATATGTGTACATATATATAATGTCTTTCTCTGTATATATAATTATGTATGTATATATATATATATATATATATATATATATGTGTATATATGTGTGTGTTTATATATATATATAATTATGTATATATGTATATATATATATATATATATATTATATATGTGTGTGTGTGTATGTATATATATATATATATGTACATATATAAATGTCTTTCTATATATATATATTATGTATATATATATATATATATATATATATATATATATATATATATATATATATATATATATATATATATATATATGTGTGTGTGTGTGTATGTGTGTACATACAAATTCATGTCTATTATTTTCAATCACTCCTTGCCTATTCTTTATAGGTTTTGTAATTTCATCCCTGATACAAAAGCCTCAAGTAAATTTAGCTTTTAACAAATAATGATAAACCAGATCACAACATGCGGTTAAAGACAAGAGAAAAAAAATCAATCCAAGTCATCTGAGTTCATCTTCTTCCTTTATGTCCACACCCAGCAGCATTTATCAATCAATTGCAGTTATTGACTAACATAGATGGAGCCAAACCAGCCGGATTCGACAATCCTCTGAAAAGTGTTCTCCAATATCATTGTGAAACTCAGCTGTGAGCAAATATACAAAAATAAAGAAAAGAAATAAATGATGATCTGTAAATTTGGTTGTATGATGATGCAGCGCTGTTGCATGGTGGGGAAGGTATTTCAAAATAGAGCCTGCTGTTCTTACTGGATTGCAATTCATGGTTTCTTTTCTCTATGCAAAAGAATCCAATGGTGTTTGGTAAAGAAATAAAACCAGCTAATGAAAAAGCAGAAGAGTCTGGGAAAGAAAGAAACAAATGAAAGCTTCTTATGGGTAAAAGTGTTCCATATACTGAAAAAAAAGCTGAAGCAAATGTGAAAACCAGCTTCTTATGGGTAAAAGAGAAGTGAATATGAAAACCATAAGTGTTTCGTAAAAAAAAATAATGTTTCGTAAAAAATAAGCAAAAGAAGAAAACCAAATTCATTTTTCTGAGTAAAAAAAAGAAATAAAAGAGAAGAAAAAGAATATGAAAACCAACACTTTTGGGTTGTAAAAAAAATAAGCAAATGTGAAAACCAGCTTCTTCTGGGTAACAAAGACAGGAATATGAAAGCCAGAAGTGTTTAGTGAAGAAAGAAGCAAATGTGAAAACCATCATTTTCTGAGTAAAAGAGAGAGGAATATGAAAGCCAGAAGTGTCTAGTGAAAAAAGAAGCTAATGTGAAAAACAGCTTTTTCTGGGTAACAATGAAGGGAATATGAAAGCCATAAGTGTTTAATGAAGAAAGAAAGAAATGTGAAAACCAGCCTATTCTGGGAAAGAAAGAAGAGTATATGAAAGCCGGAAGTGTCTAGTGAAATAAGAAGCAAATGTAAAAGCCATAAATATCTTGTAAAGAAAGAGAGTATTTTTAAAGCCAATGTTAAAAAATGAAGGAAATGTGAATATTGTCATTTTGTGCAAAGACAGTTTTTGTTTTTGTATTTACATATATTGTAGGTATAATGCATTCATAAATATAGTGCAACCATAGATCATTGATGACCTGAAGAAATTACCAAAGCCAGAAGAAAGAAGGACATGTGAATACCAGAAATATATGGTAGAGAAAGATTGAAAATCATGAAAATAAAATGGATTCATGAAAGTCAGCATTGTCTGTTTAAGAAGGAAGGAAATGTGAAAGCCAGAAATATCTGGTAAGAAACACCTGGAAAGTGAAAGACAATGGTAAAGAAAGAAGGCTTTATGAAAGCTAGTAGTATCTATTGAAAAAAGGAGGGATATGAAAGCCAGACATATCTGGTAAAGAAAACTGGGGATGTGAAAGACAATGGTAAAGAATCGAAGGCTTTGTGAAAGCTAGTAGTGTCTATTGAAGAAAGAGAGAAATGTGAAAGCCAGAAATATCTGGTAAAGAAAACCAGGAATGTGAAAGACAATGGTGAAGAAAGAAGGTTTTATGAAAGCTTGTAGCGTCTATTGAAGAAAGTAGAAAATGTGAAAGCCAGGAAAACTCGCAATGTGAAAGCCGATGTTGAAGAAAGGCAATTGAAGAAAGAAAATGTCAATTGAAGAATAAAAGAAAAGTTGACAGTTTGAGTAAAGACACATTTTCCCATTTAGTCATCACATTTATGGTAATCAGTGTCATAGCTAGAGTTTGTTCTGCCCAGGGCAGAGTGTGAGCCATTTGAGTTTGCTACTCCTTACCCATGGCCCCTTATAAAAAAAATATTTTGCACAGTGATTCCCTCTAACGAAGGTATGTATCCCATATTTATAAATGGGGCATGCGCAATAATCATAGCTGACCTGCTCAAATGTAAATTTTTAATTTTAATGCCTCCAAAATGAAACTGCTCTCTGTTAATTACCATAAAGAATCTTTTTTTCTCCTTCCATCACTATGGTTGATGCTAACCTTCAAGAGAGGAACTCCTTGTGCCTTATTAGTCTCATGTTTTCCACTGATATGAAGGGAAGTGATTATAATGAATCAATTTCTAGATCTTCTGCTAGGAATGTTGGTTCATAGATTTGTGCCAGATAGTTTTTCTTGCCAGAATCTATCTTGCACATTCATAAGTCTACCATTTGTTTGTTTATTGAATATTGCTGCCATATTTGGCCTGGTGCTTCTGTTGTATATCATGAGATTCTCATCAAAATCCAAAGAAGGATTTGTAATGTTATCAGTCATGGTCTGGCATCTTGACTTCTCCTTGGTATTTTGACTGCTTGAATATAAGTATTCTACTAGATTGGCAACCATTTTATTGTCGAATTAGCTAGATGCCACCATATGTTCTATTCTAATAGTTTCTTTTCTCATATTTTTCATCTGGAATTCTCTTCAGATTTCTTGCTTACCTGTCACCTACAATGTTCAAAAATTTAAATGCAATGCCAATAGCCATCTTCTGTCATTCTAAACTTTTCTTTTATTGTCATTTTTCTTCACTAAAGTATACTCATTTTCTTTCACCCCTTTAGTCATAGAGGCATTATTGCCTTGCTTAGGATGAAATGATTATAAAAATGTGATATTTTTCTGAAATTCTAAGAACAGGAATTTTTTTTAATGTTTCTTTTCTAAACCTACTTAATAGCTGGTAGCTTTCTTGTGTTTTCCAAAGGAATTTTTTTTTTACAAAAACTTATGTTCCTGTCATCAATTATTTTGTGACATATGCTTGCAAAAACATAGGTACAGCTGCATAAAAAGAAATCACTAAACAACTATAGGAACTACCTCACTCGTTGGCTATTGTGTCATGTGAGGGCTTCCTTACTTTGCTTAATTCAGCAGCAGCAACAGAAATAATCAGAAGGATAGAACTGGAAGTCCCTGACCAAGTTTTATTCAGCCTCTTTTTTCCATTTTCCATTTCAGCAGCCACAACCTCCAAGACAAACTTAAAGGGCTACACATGACCCTTGCTGCAAAAGCTGAGGCCTGTCCTGGCAGCTTGCCTCATATTTCTCATTCCTTGTGGGAGATAGCAAAGAAATCTTCCTTCAGGGCACCTATCAAAGGAAAGCTATATGCAACCCTTGCAGCAGAAGATTTGTCCTGTCCAAGCAGTTTCACACTCAGATTTCTCATTCCTCCTGTGGGAACTAGTGAAGAAATCTCTCTCAACAAAAACAACTACTTAAGAATTTTGTTAACTGAGAAACCCCATTGCTTGCAGCAAAATACTTCTTATTTTGCAATAAAAGCTGTTGAACAGTTATTTCAAGATTCAGTTTTGTTTATTCCCCTCTCACTGCTGAAGCACAAGCACACACATAACCTTACAAAAATGGGAATGGTCTATAATTTTCAGGGTAGGTTCATCTTGAAAGTGTGTGATATAATTTTTAAAAAATTTTAGAAAATCACATTATATTAATTTTTGAGTAAGATTCTGCAAGTGTTTTTTTCCCAAATAAAGGAGATAATATATAAATGTAAACTATAAATTAAATACAACTGAAATAAAACCAAAAACAGAAGGCTGGTAGGACTACTGTTTTGTGTCAGACCAGAAAAATAAAAACAAGGATGGCGGCCAAAGCTGAAATAAAAATAACCCAAAAAGAAAAATTCAAAAATTAAATTCAAACAAAAAATGAATAAATGAGTAAAATAAAATTAAATCAAATTAACTTAACAGACGGTTTTTGAGTCAAAAATACAAATTTTTGTATGTGTTTTCCAAAATGGTTGTAGTTAAATGTAAACTTGAAACTCCACTGGTCTGAAAATAGGTCAAATTTCATTAATAATGGAACTTTAAAAAAACCAAAATGAAAACTCATCCAAACAATTACCATGAAAGTATTTATAGAAAAATCACAAGCAAGCTACATTATGGCAATAGGAAAGTGACTGACAAGTTAAACTAGAAATTGCTTTATTTTTCAATATTAATAATTTAATGAAAAATCCCATGACAATACACTCCATTTTAGTGTGTCTTAGTAACAAATAAACAAACAGAAATTATAGCCATTAGGGATATTGGTTAACTTGGCACCATATTTAACAATAAATTGCATACTGTGTTTTGGGATGTATTTCCTTCTTGATTAAAGTTATCTGTAATTTGTGCAGTAGTATAAAAATTTTATTTTTATTTAAAGAAAGAAAGAAAAAAAAAAAAGTCAAATTAAATGTAAGACCGTCTAGGTGTTTTTTTTTTTTGTTTATTTACACGTCTTTTGACAAAGGTGTATTTTTTGTAAGCCGGATGGTGTGTGTAAAAAGGAAAAAGCTATGACTCTTTAGGATCAGGAATTTTGCTGCCAAAATTGCTTGCCAAACTCTGATTTTCTTGTGTGAAATTGTGTAAAATTTATGATTGTTTTGGATCAAGATTTGCCGCCAAAAGTGAAATTTTTGAAGGGTCTTTTTTCATATATTGGCCAATGAAAATTAAGTTTTCGAGACCCGTAGAAATTCCGGATGGCCCCGAGTGGAGCCGACTTTTTCAAATAAAAGAGAGGACAGAGAAACGAAATCAGTAGAAACAAAAAATGACGAAAGGGAACCGAGGCAGAGATCTGAGACAACATGCAGTTCGCAGACCACTTAACACCCTCTCTCTACATTGGCTGGCAAGTGGGCCATAAATCAGCCTTTCTTCAAATACCAAAACCAACTACCAAAACCAACTTTTTTCAAAAACCAATCCGGCCTGCTGTCAACGAAAATTCTTCAAAGAAAGGAGGTGGGTGCTTTTGTGTGTTCTGCTAAGTGTTGGTCTCTAAAAACTTTATCCCTTTTTTGTATTTTTGTAAAGGCTCTGAAAAACTTATCCCTTTTTTTTTTGTATTTGTGTAAAGGTCTAAAACTTTATCCCTTTTTTTGTATTTTTGTAAAGGGTCTAAAATTTATCCTTTTGTATTTTTTAAAGGGTCTAAATTTTAAAAAACCAGAGTTGGACTAAACAATTAATTTCATAGCTTGTTTCTGTGGGTATTTCCTTTTTAGAAACCCCAGGAAAATATTGTTATCCTGCCGTGTTAGGCGCACAGAAGGAAATTTTTGTGCAACCTTTCTTGTTCTTGTTCGTACCTTTGTGCTTATTGTAAAATAATTGTACAATAAATGTTTTTTTCCTGTTTTTAAAATTTTACGCAATGATTTTAACGGCAGCTATTGTTTCTTCTGCCAACTAAATTTTGTGTCTGGCACAAGGAGTTGGTAGGAGAGTGAGAAAAAAAAAGAAAGAAAGAAACAAAATTTTTATAGTAGTAGACACTCTGTTGGCTTCACATTTAAGGAAAGCTGTTTTTCACATCTTGCATCAGTCTAGAGAGCCCAATGCCTTTTTTAAGATTAGTGAAATTTCTTTCTTCAAATGCTTACTAGTCATAAATGAATCTGCAAAACCCTACCAGACATGCCATTTTAGAAATTCTCTGAGCAAACCTAGGCATTCCAATTTCTTATTGGGCTTTTTTTATTTTTCTCACTTCAAACTACTGCTAATAGATACTCACAATAAATAAATGCTCTGAGCAAGTCTAGGTAATCAGGTAACATTTTATATTTTTCTTCCTTTCCACAAATGCCTATAGATGCTCACCATAGATGAATATAAAAAGCCCCACAATCCAAGCCATTTTAGAAATGCTCTGAGAATGTCTTCACTTTTTAAAGTTTGTAATTTTTTTACTCCTACCACTACCAATAGATACTAACTATAAATAAATATAAGCAACCTACAAACTGTACCATTTAAGAAATTCTCTGAGCAATTCTTCGAGCTATAACAATTTGGCCTTTAAAAAAATCTCTCATTTATTTATGGCTGTAAGATGTGACATTCAACACATTAAAATGAAGTACTCATGATCAGCTAACCTGTTTACATATCCCTTGACCCTAATCTAACTTACTTATATATATTGTTAAGGCTTTCTTTTAATGTACTTTACATGTTGCTATTTTAATGTTTTAGAAGAGAACATGCTAATGGCCATATACTTTATAGAAAAAAAATAGACATTTCACTACTGTAAATAGTGATTTATCCATTCACAAAAGCCGAACATTCATGCATTAACTCCAATATACTTAGACATTCATGAAAAACAATCTTTCTTGCGAAAAAGGTTATTGTTCAGCATTCATCCTTTAATTCTATTGCTGCACCTTTTACAGTTGGCAGCACATTTCAATGGGGTGAAAGCAATATACAAAACTCTTCAGAACAAAATACTGGCTTTGGCCAGAGAATTCCAGCTTTGGCACTAGGATTTGTAATAGGTTGTATTTGTTGCTCCTGAATTGCATAGATTTTCCATACCATCAAATAATTAGTGGGTATGTATTGAGAAAAGTAACTTTTGAAAGAAAAGTCAAATTGCTTTCCGGAAAATGTAAGGAAATGTATACAGTAATATAGAAATGCTGAATGCCCAATTGACATTGTATGTATGTCAATTGGTAAATGTTGATAGTAAATCACTTATTATTTAGCATTCGTGTGTTTTATAAGTTTACTAAGAGTCTGACTCTTATATAGCATTGACTGGTGGACAATCTCCTCACAGATAAAAAAAGAGAATTGAAGCAACAGAAATGTGGTTCTACAGAAGGATGCTGAGAATGCCATGAA